TGCTTTAGTTCTGAGGGAAGTTGTATATTCTCTTGCATTTTAGCACTCTGCCAGCATAACCTGAGACAACCCAAGCCAAAAGGCTAGTGTCATGCTAGGGTTCTCTCCTAATTTAACTTCATATGGACCAGCCCCCAAAATACCTAAAATTACTGCTCCCTATCCCACTTAGTGCAAGTCAAATACCTCCCATTTCCGATGTTCCTGATCACAAATTAAATACAACTAAATTACAGAGAACCCTTTACACACACACACACACACACACACACACACACACACACAGCTACAAAAAAATAGATTCCAGACCCTAGTGGGACTTATTTTCATTTAATGAGGGCTGAAGCAGCATTGTATGAGGATTTTACTGGGGAGCTCGGAATGGCTAGCTCCACCACGTTCACATCTCAGCTCAAGGTACCTCGTGCCTGCCTGTCGGTCCTCTGCCTCTGATCTTCATACTATTGTCAGTATCTAAAATCAACAACTTATTTCTTATTTTGTTTATTATATATCTCCATCCTCCCACACGAATGTAAACATTTTGAACTCAATTATTTATTAAATGAATTAATAAATAAATGCATGCACGATTTGCTTCTGCAGTTTTCCTCCTGGGTTCTGAATTTCTCTGTAGAATTCTTTCTAGAAGTTATGAAATATCTGGATATTTCCTGACTTTAGCAGTGATGGGACAAGTAGTTTCCACTGCTACTTAATGGTGTATGTCCCCACCATCCCCTCCCAACATGAGTTATTTATTCATAAAGTTAACAGTTAATCCAAGTCAAGTTTATGTAAGCACAATCTGGAAAGACACTTCCTAGTTTAAGTGAAATTTGTTTTTTCCCTGCTAGGAGACACATTCTGCAGAGAAACACAACTGTGTTACACCCTTTGAAAGACGAAGAGAGAAGAGACACAAGTGCATCGGCTCCTATTTCCAGAAAAGAGGTATAAAATCAAAGCAGGAGACTACCCTCAAGAGAACTTAATCTATCAGGTGGAAGTTCAGATTGTTTAAAAAAGAAAATATTTCTTTTTCACCAAGGTGAATTATTATTCTCTCTGTCATGATGAGGTCTACAAAGCTGTGATGGGTAATTATATAGAGGAAAATCACCAGCTGTTGTCTATTTGGAAGGAGGCTAAAAGAGGAAGAAACAAATGTCCTCAAATAGATTGTGGGTTCCTTGAGGGTAAGGGCTACATATCATATTTTTGCGGTCCCCCATGGGTGGATAGGCCAGTGTGTTGTGACATAAGGTAATATTAAATATGCATTAAATTGTGTGTTGAGGGATTGGGCTGTATTTCCATGTAAGAAAGACTTTGCTGACTGGGGAGTTACCTAAAGCTAGGAATTGGGTTCCTGAGAGAGGCCAGAAATTTTTTCTTTAAATTTCTTTTCAAAAGAGAATAAACTCGAATGCAGTTATCCTGATAAATGATTTTTCTTCCAAATATAACAAAACACATACATTTTTATATACATGACTTTTCTCAGTCCCTCCGAAATGTGACCTTCCCTTACATTATCATATTTAACAAGAACAAGCGTTAGTAGAGTTAGTTTTTAATAAAGGGCAATCTTCCTTTCACTCACTGCAATTCAAAAATGTCATGATTTTATGGAAAAGTCACTGGAGTCTAGAACCATAAATCGCATTAAAGTGATACAGCCAAAATCCTGGTTTTGCGGAAGAGTAAACCTTGTCCTGGAGAGACAAGGTTGAGAGGTCTCACAGCCTCTCTCTCTCTTTTTTAAAGAGGAAAAAGGGACAGAAGGAAAGGGGCAAAGTCTCATAAAGACAGAGAATTTAAAAGTAATCAGAGAAAATTTCAGAAATGTTTGATTATCACGTTTTAAGATGCTTATTTCCTGAATGCCTCTTTGAAGAACTAATTTTATTTGAAGGCTTATTTGCAAATATAAGATATTCTATTTGAAGCACGGCTTATTATAAACAAGTATCTTAAGATACTTTTTTTTTCCAACAGAATCTTTTTTAATATAAAACAAAGATAAAGCACACCTCAACCCCGCAATCTGCCAGCATGCCTTGCTTCTACAAGATGCATGCTTTGTGAGTCAGAAAAAGAAATATACTTTACTTTGTATCTCAGTACACACATACAGACGTAAGTTTCAAGAAACCATTCTCACACTTGTCACAGGAGATAAACTCTGTATTTTCTTTTTTACTCCACTTCAGTTTTAAAATACAGCTTGTGCCCTCTCAACTGGTTTCAGAACCCAGTAATGGCCTCACGGCATTTCTAAAAACACTGCCAAGCCCTCTTACCAGACCATCCCCAGGTTAATACCCACCCTCCAAGGATCTACAACACTGTATCTACATAGAAATATTTTGTTAGTGATAAGACAGCAGTAGAGTTAAATTTCTGTAAATGCCAAGTACTTCTAACAGGTGCAAACCCCTTTGGTGTTCAGTAAACGTCTGTGGCTGACAGAGTCAATTTTAAACTCTTGAGAGACCAGAGACCCTCATCTTTGATCCCGCTTCTCCTCTGTCGTCTTCCCTGAAATCTTCTGCCTGCAGAGAACTCTCCTTTTTTTTTCCCCCCTCCAATATTGTCTCTAACACACTTAGCACTTTAATTCATCTGGGTCTTTTATGCTTATACCACACACAGTTTAAGGTTTATAATACACTCATGCCATTTTCTCACTAATTCTTAGACTTTTGCTTTGTCTCTCTTATGGTTAAGGGTTGTGTTCCACACACCTTCAGTAGCTTTATGGAACCAAGCCCCATCCTGCTCTCAGAATACCAGTTGTCAGTCAGTGATACAGGATGCCCTAAGATTAACCCCCAACAGAAAAATCTCCCTGTGCTGGCTGGATCACACAATGCAGAGGACAGCAATACCCTCACTTATCAAAAACTCTCCCTGATTCATTATTGCCATGATTCGGGCTACAACAAGGAAATGTTCAATGCTTAGCCCCCAAAAGTTGACCATAGGAGATACTCAAACAACTTTAAAAATTCTCTGCTTGTTTGCATCGAAAAAGGGTAATTAATGTTATGTAAGAGAATTGTTAAAGGAGGGCATGGTCAGGTGTTGGCTGGTCAGCCGCAGATGGGAAGCAGGGAGCCGTTGAACCAAGGACGATGTCAAAGCACAGAGTGAATACCCATATCTACGTCCAGAATTCAGATTTCTTGTATAGGTCTTGTTTGTATTACTGTGTGTGTGTGTGCGTGTGCGTGTGTGTGTTCCTTTGCAAGATTCCTCTCCCAGTTGCCCATCTACCTTTCCTCGTCACATCTTCTACTGCTAAATACACCATTCCTACTTAGATCCTCAGAACCAAGGGACTGTAGAATATTCCCCAGCAGGGGTGGTGCTGTAGGGTTTGAATGCATGGTGAGTCACACTCAGCCCTCTGGGTCACCAGACTGGAGGTGGCAAGGAAGGGGGGGTGTGGTTATGGAGGGGAGAAAGAGCCTGGAAAAACAAAACCCCTAATAAGGTCTGGTTGGAGAGCCCATCTGCCCCTGGACTCTCTCTTCCCCTGAAAACCCCCCATCACATGAATTAAGGGTCCCTGAAGTCCCACTAGGTTGGGAAATGGGAGTTCAAAATAGGACAGAAACACACGCACCTTTTGCCTATAGTGTAATGTCTTCAGGGAAGGGATCAGAGAACAGGTGGGTGCAGGTTGCAGTCCCATTCACAGGGTAACTCTGACGTCTGAGTGTTTAGGAGAAACTCGGACTGCCCCGGAAAGTGTGCTGTGTTGCTGTCTGGCTTTCTTCCCGTCCTATTTGGTTGCTGTTGCCATTATTTCTTTGCTGAGTACATAATGTTGGTAACCTGGACAGTCCACGGCCACCTTGCAGTCCCGGGACACGGCAGGATGTTGCTTTCTTAGCCCAAAGTCCGTCGAACAGAGTTAGGAAAAAAAGTATCCGCTGCTGCCTTGCCCTATCCAGCGGTGGGCTAAAGGTTGTTGAGGGCTGTGCGTCCTTGGAACCAACTTGCCCACCTTCCAGAACGCTCCCGGCAGCAGCCGGAGTAGCGCCCTGCCTGGAATCGGATTGTCCCGGGCTCCTCCTGGCATCAAAGGCTTCGAGGGTGGGAGTAGAGGCGCTCGAGACCCCCGTCTTCCTCACTTATTCACTGTGCTCACTCCCGGTAGGCTACTGTGCCCACCAGCAGCCCCTACATGAAGGGCGCTGTTCCCCCCAATCCAGCCTGCGCTTTCAGCCCCAGGCAGCTGCCCAAGTCTGACCGCTCTACCAGCACTTTCCGGACCCCCATGGCCCCTCTTCTTACCTCCGGACTCCCAGCTCCTTCTCTTGCTTCCTCTCAGGACCCCAGTTCCTAGCCAACCGTTTTCCCACCCATCTCTATCCCACTTTCACCACCGCGCCCACTAGGGACCCTCTCTCCACAGGTTCCCAGGTGGTGCTGTCCCCCGAGCAGTGGCTGAAGGAGCCAGGGTGGCACGATCTCTAGGGGTAGGTTCTTTGGGAAACTCACCCCTCCGGAATTTGCATCCTCTGGGGAGGGGGACAAGGTTCCCAGAAAGCTATCTCCGGGGACGGACGAATCCCCCAGCCCAGACTGTTGGGTCTCCCCACCCATTCTCCCCCTCCCCAAAGTCTAACGGGTCCCTCTCCTGCTTCCCGTGTTTACGCCGCGTTTTACTCTCGGGGGCTCGTGGGGTGAGCCCCAGCCGGCACTCGAGCAAGGCAGCCGCGGCGGGCGCAGCCCCACTCGCGGTACAGGGCGAGAGGGGCTGGTGCGGAGGCGCTCAGAGCTCTCCTGCTTCCCCTCCCTCTCCAGGGACAGGAGCGGGCTGACGGGGGCGGGGGGCTGGCGCTCATCAATTCCGCTGCCACCTCCTCTGCTGCCTGGGGGGTGGAGAGGGGGGTGTGGATGCGGGCGGGGTAGGGCGGGGGAGCGGACGAGGATAAGACTTAAGTCGGGAGAAGTTTGCGCACAGCGCACAGCTGGGAAGGAAGGCGCCGGGAAGGTGAGCCTCCTGGACTTTGGGGAGGTTGGAATCAAGCATGGGGATAAAGCAGATGCCTTTTAGCTTATAACACAAGCTGGGGTTAGGTATAAACTATCACTTAAGGCAGAAGTAAAGTGTCAGGAAATCAGGAGGGGGGCAGGAGAAGGAACGCTCCGGACTAACGGAGTTTTCTCTCCACTAGAACGGCTAGCCCCCCAGACACTGGGTGGGCTGCGCCGTGCCGCTCGCGGACCTTCCTGGGTTGGAGAGGTGCGCACAGTCCGCACCTCACCCAGCGGCTGCCATATCCTACTCAGGAGATGCGCACTGGAGCCTGAGTTCCTGAGTCTTTGGAGCCACCACCTGCGAATGCCCTTCGCTTCTACTGAGCCATGTCGGGCAGCCCAGTGAGATTACTCCAGGTAAGGAGGGTCTCGGAATGAGTGGGACTTAAAGCTTTGGGATGTTCTCCGGGATGGTTAACAGTGGAGATGCACCAGATATCTTGTTTTTTGATTGCAAAACTGCAGTTTGATTGTAATGTTTGAGGTTCTGATTAGGGTCAGCTTAGTCGCAGTCGCCTCACCTTACCCTTGATTATAGGAAAGCTAATTGTCCTGGGAGGGTGCTGAAACTTAGGGTTTCATACTGAAGAGTCCTGGGATTTTGTGTGAGTTTTACTATGCTGTTAATATCAATGTTCCCACAAAAGTTTTATTCTCCAACTTACTGGGTATGGAAATTACGGGGCTGAAAGTTGTGGATTTTTTCCAAAAGGTGTTTATTAACTAACAAACAGATAATATCGGCGTCTATGTGATGTGTCATTGTTGTTCTTGATATTGGAAATGAATACAGTGTGAATGGAGTTGCTTGTTAAGTCATGTTTTACAGAGAATTATTTTCCAACAATCATTTATGCATAGCAGCCATTCTTCACACCTATTAGGAAAAACATGTTGTGTGCATAGTTTCCAAAAGGGTACTCTTTTTTTCATGATGTTCTTTCCAAGCCTGGGTGAAAGACATCAAGAAAAGCTCTAACATATTAGTTCTTCTTCCCAAAACATTCATTTTCCTTGAGGTCCAAGGAAATCCATTCAAAGTAAAAAATCAACAGTCCAATTAGATTTTTTAACCCATTATTCAGGCTTTATTTTGCAGATCTACTTAAGAAAAGCTCTGTATGAAAGCTTGAACCTAATATTACATAGTACATGCAAGACTAGAAGGTAGGGTTCTACTGCCGATCTTCAGGAGACCCTGACAGCCATAGTTAACCTGAACCAAAGCATCTGTTCAAGGCTATTTGTTAAAATTATTGGGTGATTGAAAGTGAAATGTTCAAAATAAACCAAAGTGTGACCATGTGGTTTCTGAAACTAATCTTTAAATAGCAGAGTGTCCAAGTTTGAGTGTGTCTTAAATGATAATAGAAAAGCAAATAGTTCATACATTCGGGCAACCGTGACTTACCCTTAGAGACAAAGTAAGAATGCTTTTAGTGTTGTGGGATTTATAAAGTATCATTTGTAATAGTATATTGCTAGCCTACTATGTGATCAGTTGCAGCCCAGCTTTAAAAAGTCAAAATTGCTGGTTTTCTACACTAGCATTATGAGAGGATCTAAGGTGATTAGATTTGCAAAACATCTTTGCAGTTTGTCAGTATTCTCAGTGGGCACTCATTTTTACTCAATATTTTAACATAGCTCAAAACCTCCATCAGCCGGGGTTTGCTTTGTTTCCATGCCTCTAATCTACAGTTAATTTCAGAAACTATAGCCACAAGAATAATAGTAAGTCATTGTCAAACACTCTAAGATTATTTATTGACCACAGAAACATACCCAATATAGTAAACATGAAATTCTTATTATAACTTATTCATAGGAACACATAAATAATCTTAGAGTTGTATTGTTTCATGATGCTTGGAGTTGAAGAAAACTCTGTGCTTGGTGAACTTCTCAGATTCTTTCAATGTTGACATGAATGAAGATATTATCTACTGTTGGTTTTTATTAGAGTAAAAATGAAATGGAAATAAGAGACTGGTGATATTTTCAATGATAACCTAAACCAGTGTTCTCAACTCGGGCTGCAAATTAGAATCAATGGGAGAGCTTTAAAAAAAAAAAAAGGATGCCCAGACCCTACCCCAAACCAATTAAATCAGGTTATCTGAAGAAGGGGTTTACATTTTGATGCTTTTTTATGTGATTGTAATGTGCAGCCATGTTGGGAACCACTGACCGAGGTGATTCCTGTCAGGTTTGGTAGAGTCAGTTAATGTTGGAGGGTGTTGGAACATAAATACCATATGTTCTATTGTCAGTCTAATTTTTTTTAATATTTATAACTTGATATCCCAATTAGAAGAAAGAGATTATTTTTTCCTTGATGGTAGATGTTTAAACCATAACAGTTTCTGGTAAAAACATTTTTTTTTTTTTCTAAAAAACAAGCTATTGAGTTTGAAGCTTATCTGACTGTCCAGAAAATGGTTTAGTAAATTAAATCTAGTTTTAAGAGCTGTTAAAAACAATGTTTTATGAAACACAGAATTTGGTCTCATTTTACTAATACCTACATGATGTGTAATGTGCAAATATATACCCTTTTGAAGGGAGAGAAGAAGAAAATACAACTGTGCTCCTCGGCACAGCAAATAACATATCCTGGGTGCTGACTATGTTCTAGTATTCTCACATAAATTAGTTTCTTTAAAGCTTACAGTAGCCTTGTGAGGTACTAGCTTTTATTCTGATTTTACATATGAGGAAATTAAGGACCCATTAGGTTAATGAATTTGCTCAAAGCTGCAAATTGAGTAAATCTAATATGTATTTGAACCCTGGTCTTCTTATTCTAAGTTCAATGCTCTAATAAGATATGTTTTATATACATACATTATATATATATATATATATATATATATACACATACATATTTAATTTAAAGACTGCATTTTTCACAAAACAGTATTGATTAAGAGTACGGCTTGATTCTGACACGGCTCTGCTTGGGTTTCATGCCCGACTCTATAACCTTCTAAGAAGCTGTATGGTTTTGGGCAAGTAATCTAACCTCTGAATGTCTTAATTTCCTTTATAAAATGGGGTTTTTCTAATGAGAATTAATGAATTAATAATTGTAAATCACTTTGGGTAGGTTCTTGGTGCAGAGTAGGTTCTATGTAAGTGTTATATTTTTTAAATGTCATTTATTCAAAAAATATTTTTGATTATTTGTGACATGCCAAGCAATGCATTAAGCCTGAAGATACATAGACAAATAAGATGTGTTCCTATCCTCAAGGAATTGGTCAATAGAGAATCACCAATACATAAGTAATATTCCACTCAGTTATGAGATTTTATTCAATATTAATTATAATAAAGGCGTTATTTTGTGTGACAACTATGTGCTTTTCAATGTTAGTATGATCTTCCAGAGGTCTATATGAGTATTACAAAATCAAACCAAGTGATAATATTTTGTGTTGTCACCATGGTATTAACTTGTTTTCAATTCTATCAAAACACAGAAAATAATATTAACATATGTTTCTGGCTTCACTTTATGAGTTTAGAAAACTGGTAATATGGAAAGGTTTTAGGTCTTTAAATATTTATTTTAGAAGTAAAGAATTGAGAGGGGAAGAATTGATAGAAAATGTCATCAGAACCTATTCTTCAATATTCATAAGTGCAATTTTCTTGAATTGCTTTTCCAAAAAGTGTGTTGTCTGATTGGAGTGTAGTTTAGTTTAGGTTTTTTTTGTTAAGAAAAAAATTTTAGGGTAGGAAGAGTGGCTCAAAGCGTACAGTGAAAGGTCTCTAATACGGGCCAGCTGGGCCAGACATTGGAGCTGGCTGTACTTCTCCCACTGTGCCTGCGGCTGCTTGCCACTGACCTGTACTGCACAATACCCCAGGGTACCTCTGGATACCTGAGGTATAAGATTATGTCTTTGTTCAAATGAAAAGCCACTCTTTATTAAAAGTAGCGTATGAATTGGTATTCTTTGTAAAGGAATAACACAAATACGCTAAACCCAAGGAGCTATTTCTCAAAGAAATTAAGTACCTGGCTCCATGAAATATTTTCTGCTTTTGTAATCAATATGTAACCATTCTATTTCATTAAAATTTCTATTTGAAAATGTATATCTTTTTTCTCTGTTATTAAGTCTCAAGGCTACTCCCAATTTTTCCCATGGATGCTGCATTTTATTCTTCCTAGTTTCACTGCCACCCCTCTCGTTTAAGCTTGCATTACCTTTAACAAAATGCTTAAATATTCTCCTAATATTTAGCCACATTTAGTCTCTCTGTGATGCATTCAGTGTTACACAACACCGTCAGACTTGTTTTCTAAGCTCCCATTTTGTCACTCTCAACTCATAATTATTCAGTGATTGCCCCACTCGTCAGCCTAGCATTGAAGAGGTTTCATGATGTAATCTCATTTTATCTTTCCTATCCAAGTCCAGTAGAAAACCGCAACAGCTCCCTAATTCCAGTTCTGAAGCCATAGTGATGCCACAAAAATTGACTCCAGTCCATCCTTCATTTTCAGCCCTTATGCCAACAACTTGTTTATATTCCATTGCCTCAGAATTGGGGTATGTTGGGGGAGAACTCTTTACGTCAGTGGTTCAGTTGCAGAGCTGCTTTGCTTTGGTTTTGATTTCTTTCTGCAGCTCCATTCCCAGACCCTGCCTTTTATTTATCTGGTAGTTCAGAATTTGGCATTTCAAATCTTACCTTCCTCTGTCCCTCAGAATGTATTCATCATTCCCCGGTAACACATCTAACAAATTATCATCCTTATAGTTTCGTTCATATTTAAAAACTCAGTAAATATTTACTAAATGCCTGTTGCATCCGAGTCAGGGCATATTGTGACAAAGCCTAGTTCCTGGCTTCATGGGCACGGGAGGAGACAGACAAACCAACACACAATTACAAACCCGTGTGGTAAGTACTCCAGTAGAGAAATGCCATGAGCGCTTTGGAAGCAGGGAGGAACAGCACCGAGCTGGACATCAAGGAAGCTTTCTGAGGGAGGTGACCCTAAAGGGGACATGATTCAGCATTTAAATGACAAAACAGAATGAACCAGATAAGGAGGGGAAGAGATGAGTTGTGTTAGAGGCAGGATACCAGACTCTAAAAAAGCCCTGGAGGCTTGAAACAACATGGTGATTTGGGGGAAGCCTCAGGTATCCAGAGGTACCCTGGAGGTACCGTACAACGCAGGGCAACAGCATGGAGCCGAAGGCACAGCAGACAGCACCAATGAGATGTAGTCTTGCCGAGCCAGCCCTGTATTAGAGCAATGAGGCTTCCTTTTAATTTGTATCCATCCACCTTTCATTCTAATATACTTCCTAGCTTTCAACCAGACTGATCTA